TGTGCATTCGGTTCTTCTGGAAAGAGAAGGGGGGGAGGGAGGGGTCTTTTTAAGCCTCTAAAACAGAACTCCCGGGCAGAACAATCCCAGATCGGGTTTTGGCTCCTGTTTTTCTTCTTTGTTTTCTTAATAATCCCCCTCCCCGCCCCCCCACCGCCCGTGCCAAACCCCGAGCTGGAACCTCCTTCCCTCACCAGAGGAAAGTGAGGCCACTTCATCCCCTATTCCTTGAAGACAGAGATGGAAACGGAAAGATTTTAGCGCAGGTGCACAGAGCACAGCTCCTCCAAGCCACGCTGCCCTAGCCAGAGGCCCGGCAGGACGCCCCGGGCCAATGACGTCCCAACTTTTGGTTCAGGGGGACCCTGGGAAGAAACGTGTTTTTACTCCACGACTCGGTTCACACCCTCTCTACTGGAGCCTGAAACGAAGCTTCGCAAAAACAGTACTTACCCTCACCTTTCCTCTTGTCTGGGGTTATTTGGTTTAAGTGCTGGTCACAAGTCACTGAACAGATTTCCTGGCCCACCAGTGGGTCAGGACCCACGGTCTGAAAACCACGGACGCAGGCTCGTTTCAACAATTTGCACGTTTGGTACAGCCACGGGACGCACAGGCAGACTGCACCGGCTCTGAGTCCCAGGAGCTCTGGGTTCAGACCCCAGCCGCTCACGCTCAAGGGTGACTAGTGGCTTCGTTTAAAACCAGGACCCCTGAGTCGCATCTTATCTTGGGCCATTTTACAGACGAGGAAACTGGGGCCCAGGGAGGGGAAGGGATTCACCCAGAGGCACAGAGTTAGCAGGATGAGAAATCCCACAGACCAGCCCCTTGGTCCTCAAAAGGCAGAGCCACGGCTAAACGGTGTCCCAAACCATAAAAAAAAAACAGCGGATGCAGAAGGACCGGATTTTTCTTTAGTAGCGGCCTTCTGTCTTAGGTTTCTGCCGCCACCTCAAAGGACAGACTCTGGAGAGTGGATTTAGGGAGGGAAGGAGCTGTTCCGCCCAGCACCCTGACCCTGAGGGAACTCCTCCTCTCAGTAGAGGCCCCTCCCACCTCCCTGTGGGGGCTTGGTTCAGCCTGACCCCTCTAACGCGCCTTCCTACACCCAAACCATAGCGAGTCCTAACGACCCTACTGTCAAAACAGAAGCCACATTTGCACCACAACCCCCCTGGCCTGAGACGCCGGCCCGTCCTCTCTCGCCTGGACGTCCGTCACCTCCTCCCTGGCCTCCCCACTTCTGTCCTCACCCCCTCCAGTCTGTTCGCCATTCGTAGCCCCTTGACATGCCCGCCTGCAAAACTTTAAAGGCTTTCCCAAATGTGATCTGAAGCCCCTGAGCCCCGGTCTGTCTCACTATTCGTACCTGCTCATTTTCCCAACCTGACTCAGCAACGGCCCCGCTGACCTCTTCTTCAGATTATCTCCCGCCTTCAAGTTCAAGTGCCGTTCATTCTGCTGGAAACCCTCCCCCCCGAGATCTTCACATGGCCGCGTCCCTGAATTCCTCCATGTGTCTGTTCAGCCAACGCTTCCTTAGATTGGCCCATCAGAGAGACCCCCTCCATCCCCACCTGTCGCTCTCCACCCCTCTTCCCTAACACCCGTTGCCAGCTGACACATCAGATATTATCTGTTTAGGGAGTCTCATCCTGATAGATCAGGGGCAGGCAAACGGACCGTGTTTGTAAATAAAGTTTTATTGGAAAGCACCCATTCCTGTTTGTTTACATACGGTCTGTGGCTTGTTTTTGTACTACAGCAGCAGAGTTGATGGGGGCGCCCGGGTGGCTCAGTCGGTTGAGCATCCGACTTGGGCTCAGGTCATGATCTCCCGGTTTGTGAGTTCAAGCCCCGTGTCTGGCCCTGGGCTGACAACTCAGAGCCTGGAGCCTGCTGCAGATTCTGTGTCTCCCTCTCTCTGCCCCACTTGTGCTCCTCTCTCTCTCAAAAATAAACATTAAAAAATTTTAAAAACAATAGCCACGTTGATAGTTGGAATAAACACTCTATGGCCCACAAAGCCTAAAATGTTATCTGGCCCTTTATAGAAGATTGTGACCCATGTGCTAGACTCTATGCTCCACGGGTGCCGGAACCGTATCTATCAAGGTTCAGCACTGGGTGCCAGATACCTAGCACAGGCTGTCCATAAACATTTGCTGAGTGAGCAAACAATGGAAGAATCCTGTCCAAGGTTCATGTAGCCAGAAATGGGACCTCTTCCTCAAGTTGGATGCCTGGCCCTTACCCTGGGGAGCCAAGATAGCTGCACGGGTGATCCTCTGCCTCCTCGGTGTCCTTTCTGGACCATCGTGGAGTAAATGCTGCCTGGTTTAGCTGAGCTGATCTCATGGGGTCCAGAGGGTACCCCCTCCCCAGGTGAGAGCCCCGAAACGGCTTCTCACAAGTCTTAGGATAAAGATGAACGATCTCAACTAGGCCAGCCAGGCCAGGCCCTGCCTGCCAGCTCTAGCCTCACCTCTCTCTACTCTCCCTTGGACTCCGGCCAAACTGTCTTTCTGTTCTTAGAAAGCAACTACCTTCTTTCTGCCTCAGGACCTTTGCACTTGCGGTGCCCTCTGCCACAAATGCTCCTCCCCCACCCCACCCAGGCCCCTTCTCTACATAACTAAAGCCGCTCATTCGTTCCAGCTAAAGTGTCGTGTGCTGGGGAAGGCTTCCTGACCTCCTTGGCTAGATCAGAGACCACTCACGTTTCCCTGTTCTGTCCATACACTTCCCGAAATTCCAATTAAGAAATTGTGAAGTTGTTTATTGCCTGCCTCTCTTCCAACCTCCAGCTCCACCCCTACCAACAGGAAATTCCATAAGGGCTCCCTCACCTCTTAGGGTATCCTAGCACCTGGACAGCCCCACCCAAAATATGTGTCGGTTGGCTGAATTTTAAAAAAAGGGGGGGAGGGGGAGTTCAGAAAAGTCTATGTGAAATATTTCAACTACTACTCAAAGATGCTAACATCCAACCCAAACGGTAGAAAGATCGAACCTCGAGAGAGGCCAATTCGTTAACATCTACCAAAATTCCAACATACCTATCTTTGGACCTAAGCAATGTAGCTTTAGAATTTATCTTGCAGGGGCACCGGGTGGCTCAATTAAGCGTCTGACTTTGGCTTAGGGCATGATCTCACGGTTCGTGGGTTCGAGCCCGTCATCAGGCTCCACACTGACAGTGGGGAGCCTGCTTGGGATTCTCTCCCTCTCCTCTCTCTGCCCTTCCCCCACTTGCGCATGCGTGCACGAGCTCTCTCTCTCCCAAAGATAGATAAAACTTAAAATTTATTCCGTGATAAACCCTCATATGTGCAAAATGCAGTGTGTGGAAGATTAGTTAATACTGTCGGTAATCCCAAAAGACAGGAAGCAATCTAATGTCCATCAGTTGGGGATGGGTTGAATTCCAGTTTGTTCCAACAATGGGCTATACGGGGGCGCCTGGGTGGCTCAGCCGGTTAAGCATCTGACTCTTGGTTTTGGCTCAGGTCATGATATCACGGTTCATGGGTTCGAGCCCCACATCGGGCTCTGTACTGACAGCGCGGAGCCTGCTTGGGATTCTCTGTCTCCCTCTCTCTCTGCCCCTCCCCCACTCACGCTGGCTCTCAAAATAAACAAACTTTAAAAAAGCAAAAACAGGGGCACCTGGGTGGCTCAGTCAGTTAAGCAATCAACTCCTGATTTCAGCTCAGGTCAGGATCTCACAGTTTGTGGGTCCGAGCCCTACGTCAGGCTCTGCACTGACGGTGTGGAGCCTGCTTGGGATTCTCTCCCTCTGTCTCTGTCTCTGTCTCTGTCTCTCTCTCTCTCTCTCTCTCTCTCTCTCGCTGCTTCTCACCTGCTCATGCACTCAAACTCTCTCTCAAAAATAAACTTAAAAAGGTTGTGAGCTGCTATGAGGTACAGTTTACAGCAAGTGTAAACGTTTAAAACAAAAAACAATACTGCTATATAAAGGGTTTAAAAAGTTC